ATGGCTATCGAAGACTTGCCCTTCGTTGGGGGAAATTCAGGCCCCAAGGCATAAGCTGGGCCCTCGAGCATCCCTGCACCCACTAATCACGCTCTGCTTTTATCACTTTTGCCCTGTTTTTCTTTTTTAGAAGAAACAATTTCCTTGCCCCGTTCTCATGGAGCCCTCCGGGCCATGCTCCTGGACTGTGAAACGGGAGTCCAGAGTCTGTTTAGACCGGGAGCTCTTTAGGGTAAGGATCGTTTCCCACTCTGTGCCCACGCACCATGGGGCCCTCGACTCCACAATGGAGATTAGGCTCTGTCCCCAAGAGTGGTGCAATTGCCATAAAAAGGAGGCATCAGGTTTGGTAAATATTTACTGTTAGATGTCAGGGATCTGCCCATGATCTGCCGGTGCCCCTCAATCCTGACCCACCAGCTCTGCCCCCAACACAGCTTTACCGGCACCCACTCTATCCTGACCCACAGCCCCCTCCCATTCCTCCACACCGTCCCTCAGCAGCCACAATACACGTCTCTAACACACCAGTGACAACCATCACCACGGTCATTGGCCTCCATGTTCTGTCCCCACCTCCAACCCCTTATCTGCGGGTGGCTTTTATACTGTAGCACTGGCCTCCCCCACACACAGACTTAGTAAGGCAACTCCCATCTTTTCATGTACTGTGTATATATACACCTGCTCCTGTATTTTCCACCCCATGCATCTGATGAAGTGGGTTTTAGCCCACAAAAGCTTATGCCCAAATAAATTTGTGAGTCTGTAAGGTGCCACAAGGACTCCTTGTTGTTTTTACTGATACAGACTAACACGGCTGCCACTCTGAAATCTAACAGCTTGATCTGTGTGTGCACCCATAAATCCGAATCGTGAACACAGCATAGTGTCTACACGGGGCAGAGAGGGTGAAACACTTCACAGCACATGACAGACACTGCAGCCTGTGGTTTGGGCAGCGAATCCAGTACCCCGGCCCCCACTCCAAATCCCCACGCTTGCTTCCTATCAGCCCTTGATTTCAGTCTGCAGGGGAGGAGAAGCTGGAGGAAACATTGTCAAATAGCCGCGGGGGGTCCTGAGGAAGGAGGAAGAGAGGCCAGATGGGCAGGGGAAGAGCCACCCTTCTGAGCTGGTTCATCTGCGGCTCCCGGCCCGGGGGAGGGCAGGGTGAGGTCTAGGGGATTAGGAGGTGAAAAGGCATCAGGGGCTTGCAGCTGATGGTGAACTGTGGGACAGGGCAGGGATTGAGCCCCAGGGCCTGGGGAGAAGGGAAGAGGGGAGACCTCAGGAGCCAGGGCAAAGTGGGGTGGGAATTAGAGGGAAGGAGGAAACGATCCCAGAGGTCTGGGGCTAAATGGAAGATATGGTGCTGGACGGCCCCAGAGGTTTCTGCTATGCCCCACTTGAAAGATCACCAGCCGCCCTTGACCCCACTCCCAAGCCCCACTGAGCCACTCAACTTGTGGCCAAATTGTAACTGGTGCCACCTAGACAGGAAAAGTCCTTTAACCAATTCCCTACCCCCTGAGCCACCCAGTCCCCCACTCTGGGTTCAGATTGGAGCCAGTGCCCCAGAAAGGGAAATGACCCATAACTCCTTTTCCAATCCCTGGTCAGTGAATCATAGAAATGTCGGGCTGGAAGGGACCTCACGAGGTATCTAGTGCAGCCAGCCCCCTCTGCTGTGACAGGACCAAGGAAACCTAGATCAGCCCTGACAGGAGTTTGTCAAACTTGTTTTTAAAACCTTCCAATGAGGGGGAATCCACAACCGCCCTTGGGAACCTCTTCCAGAGCTTAACTACCCTTACAGTCAGAAAGATTTCCCTAACATCTCACCTAAATCTCCCTCACTGCAGATTAAGCCCATTACTTCTTGTCCTACCGTCAGCAGATATGGAGAACAATTGATCATGGTCCCCTTTATAACAGCCCTTAACGTATATGAAGACTGTTATCAGGTCCCCCACAGTCTTCTTTTCTCCAGACTAAGCATCCCTAGTTAAAAAAACTGGGCATGTTTAGTCCTTCCCTCACAGGTCAGGTTTTCTAAACCTTTGATGATTTTTGTTGCTCTCTTCTGGACTCTCTCCAATTTGTCCACATCTTTTCTAAAGTGCGGTGCCCAGAACTGGGACGCAGGACTCCAACTGGGGCCTCACCAGTGCCAAGTAGAGCAGGACAATTCCCTCCCGTATCTTGCATACAACACTACTGGTAATACACCCCAGAAAGATACTAGCCTTTTTTGCAGCTGCATCACATTGTTAACCTGGGATCATTCCCTCCTCTGCCGCCCCACACCACACCACACCACAACGACACTGCACATGGGAGCAGAGCACGGTGGTTAACAGGGGGAACGAGCAGCCATTGCACATCCCATCGGTTAGTGGAGTCACCACCTGTTAGCCCATTGCCCCAGCCGGGTTGTGAAACTTCGCCTTTTCGTGCAGGGTTTCCCCCTCTGTCACGGGGAGAGCAATCTGCCCCAGACCGCAAGGAGGAGTCCCCTAATGTCCTAACCACCAACCAACACTTGGCAAGCCAGTGGGACTGGGCAGCGTGGGACAGGCCCTCAGGCCTCGCTCCCTGCCCGGGATAGGGCTGGGGCCAGACCAGGGGTCGTGAGCAGCCCCGTTAGGGCCTGATCTGGGCCTGCCCCTGGACTGTGGAGGGTGTCAAAGCCCCAAGCCTGTGAGGACCGGGGGACACTGCAGGGTGACAGGAGCCAGCACAGAGGGGGCCTGGCAGGGACCCATAGCCGGTGCCAGTGGAGAGCAGTGGCTAGGAATCCGGCCCCTGGAGCCAGCCCCCCATGGTCATTATCTACAGGGTCCAGCCTGTTTTGGGGTGGGATCCACTGTCTCACCCATGGGGAAATTTGAGATCATTCCTGGCCTTAACGCGTCTTTTCCATGCCCATTTTCACAAGAAGCCATGTAGAGCTGGGGTGTTCACATTCTGAATGACCCTCGGTGAATTTCCTCCTACCAGAACAATTCCTAGACTTATATATATTTTAAAGCCACAAGGGGCCATTCGATCGTCTAGTTGGATCTTCTGTATTACACAGGCCAGAGAATTTCACTCACTTCCAATGGCACTGAGCCTAATCACTTGTGTTTGGCTAAAGCACCTTCCACAAAGGTGTCTAGTCTGGATTGGAAGCCATCCAGAGATGGAGAAGGTGGAGTTTGTTCTCCTTGGTCATTTGTTTCAGTGATTCCTCATCCTCACTGTTAAAAAGTGGTGCCTTATTTCTAATTTCAATTTGTCCGGCTTTAACTTCCAGCCATTGGTTCTTTTTCTGCCATTCTCTGCTAGATTAAACAGTTTTCTCTCCTTATACATTGTCATCAAGTCACCTCTCAGTCTTCTTTTAGATAAATTAACAGATCGAGTTCTTTAATTCTCTCACTTCTTCAGCCCTTAAATCATTTTTGTGGCTCTTTTCTGCACCTTTTCCCATTTTTCAACATCCTTTTCAGAAGGTGGACCCCAGGACCGGATGCAGTATTCTCAGTATGCCAGTATCGGTCCCACCAACACCGTACACACGGATAAAGTCACCTCCCTGGTCCTACAGTCTAAAATATGGCTGGAGTGAAACAACTGCAGAAGGAAAGGAAAGTGAAAAAGAGGGCTGAAAATCGATCTGTCCTCTATTTGCCTGCCAAGTCAAGAGATCAAGGGTCATTGTTTCCCTTGCAAGAGCTGAGAATCATAGAATCATAGAATATCAGGGTTGGAAGGGACCTCAGGAGGTCATCTAGTCCAACCCCCTGCTCAAAGCAGGACCAATCCCCAACTAAATCGTCCCAGCCAGGGCTTTGTCAATCCTGACCTTAAAAACCTCTAAGGAAGGAGATTCCACCACCTCCCTAGGTAACCCATTCCAGTACTTCACCACCCTGCTAGTGAAAATGTTTTTCCTAATATCCAACCTAAACTTCCCCCTCTGCAACTTGAGACCATTACTCCTTGTTCTGTCATCTGCTACCACTGAGAACAGCCGAGCTCCATCCTCTTTGGAATCCCCTTTCAGGTAGTTGAAAGCAGCGATCAAATCCCCCCTCATTCTTCTCTTCTGCAGACTAAACAATCCCAGTTCCCTCAGCCTCTCCTCGTAAGTCATGTGCTCCTAGGGTGACCAGACAGCAAATGTGAAAAATTGGGATGGGGGTGGGGGGTAATAGGAGCCTATATAAGAAAAAGACCCAAAAATCGGGACTGTCCCTATGAAATCGGGACATCTGGTCACCCTATGTGCTCCAGCCCCCTAATCACTTTTGTTGCCCTCTGCTGGATGCTTTCCAATTTATCCACATCCCTCTTGTAGCGTGGGGCCCAAAACTGAGTAGAGCAGGACAATTCCCTCCCATGTCTCACATACAATACTCCTGTTAATACACCCCAGAAGGACATCAGCCTTTTTCACAGCTGCAGCCCATTGTTGACTCGTTCAATGTGTGATCCACAATAACCCCCAGGTCCTTTTCAGCACGGCGGCCACCTGGCCAGTTATTCCCCATTTTGTAGTTGTGCATTTGATTTTTCCTTCCTAAGTGAAGTTCTTTGCACCTGTCTTTATTGAGTTTCATCTTGTTGGTATCAGACCAATTCGGCAAGGTCGTTTTGAATTCTAACCCTGTCCTCCAAAGCGCTTGCGACCCCTCCCAGCTGGGTGTCATCTGCAAATATTATAAGCATAATCTCCACTTCATTATCCAAGTCATTAATGAAAATATTGAATAGTACTGGACCCAGGACTGACCCCTGAGGGACCGCCCCTCGATATGCGGTTATAGCTCCCAGTTGGACAACCATTGATAACTACTCATTCGGTTTTCAGCGCTGTTAGGGCTCGGAAAGAGAGACAGAGAGCGACGTCTAATTTCTCTGCATCACGTCCCCAGAAACACACACCCAGCCCGTCTGCATTTGCATGAATGTATTTTATTGCAGGAAATAGGAAGAGAATCCAACTCAGCAACAGCTACCATGGCTCAGCCTGAGACAATCAATTCCCCACATCACCCAAAGCAATGCGAGAGAGGGTTGACTATACTGTGCAACGGGCACTAGGGGCAGCAGGGCGTGAGGGGGCATAAGGGGGGCTGTACTACATAACAGGCAGAGAAAATGAAGAGAACTCTGCACCAAGAGAGGCAGCAGCAGAATGCGAGGGAAACCGGAGTGGCCTCCTCATCACCCCGTCAGATCTGGCTCTCGGCGAAATGCACGGGGAACTTTTGCTCATTGCAGGCGATGACGATCATCCTGAAGTCAGCGGCAGCCTGGTATTTGCAGTTGTTAAGTGGTTTCCCTCCACGCCAGGTGCAGGTGGTGACCTGGAATCTATTGCGGCTCTGGCGCATGATCTGGCCACTCTTGGTTTCATAGTCCGTGCCTCCCTCGTCAGTGCAGACGGCTCTGATAGCTTTGCTGTTCGCGTGGATGAAGGTGTTCGGGTCCTTGCAGACTTTTTCCCCAGGATCTGGGTCCAACCTCCTCAATTCCTTCAACACGTAGTGCATTTGTTTGTTGCAGTACTTGTCGTTACGGCCTGTGGGATTCGCATCGACGTGCTGGAGGAGGAACTTCTGGTACTGATCTGCAGTAGCTGGTGCTCCCAACAGCACCAGTGCAGCAGCCAGCAGGAGCAGCACGGAGGTCCCTTTCAGAGCCATGGCTCCAGCCAGATGATCCTGAGGACACACTGAGAGACAAGAACAGAAGAGCTGCCAGACAGGGTCAGACCAAAGGTCCAGCTAGCCCAGTATCCTGTCTCTGACAGTGGCCCGTACCAGAGCTTCTGGCAGAGTGTACAAAACAGGGCAATTAAGGAGTGATCCACATGCATCTTCCACTCCCGGGTTCCGACAGTTGGAGGTTTAGGGACACCCAGAGTATGGGATTGTATCCCTTGGCTAATAGCCATTGATGGACCTATCCCCCATAAAATCTGATCCAAAGACCCCACTCCCCCTCACCCCAGAGCCACGAGAGGACTGAGAAGTCCTGAGTCCAGATCTCACCTACTCTTTCTTTCACCCTCTTGCTAAGATTCTGGTCTCAGCCCCCGCAGGGTCAATCCAGAGTCACCCCCTGGCTGAAGTGGGGTCAGGACTGGATTCTGCTCCCAGGCACCCTGGGGTCAATCCGCAGTGCCCTTCTTTCTGCATTTCCCGCCTGGCTGGGGTCTGTTAAGCAACAATGTTTTCAGCTTACCCAAGTCGTGGGGCTCCCGACAGAGGGATGGATCCAGCTGCCGACAGAGCTGAGAGTCCCTGAGTCTCCTTCCCCTTCAGTTGTCATTATATAGAGCCTGACCAGGCAGTGGGGGTGGGGCAGCTTCTCCCACTGAGGGCAGGGAGATAGAGGGGAAGCAGGCATGGGGCAGGGTCCTGTTATTGGAGTCCTGTGACACTGTGAACCCCACAGCCCCTGGTGAACCTGCCTTTGTAACCCTCAGCCCAACGCTATCCCTGAGCTGGGGAGAGAACCCTGGAGTCCTGACTCCCAACTGCCCCCGTTCTAACCCACTAGGTCCCACTCCCCTCCCCGAGCCAGGTTAGAACCCAGGAATCCTGGCTCCCAGCCCCTCTAACAACACAGTCCTGGTTGTTACAGGTTTCACCACTAATTGGGAACCCTGGGTACCCCATAACCACAAGCCCACAACCCCAGCCAGTCCCTCCCTGGGTTCCCTGCCCTCTCTTGGGTTTGTGTCCTGCCCACTGCTGGTGGGGGCTGGGAGCCAGGATTCCTGGGTTCTATCCCGGGCTCTGGGTGAGCAGTGGGGTCTAGTGTGTGTTTGTGAGGTTATGAGACAATGTCCGTTGGGGTCACTAGCTAATACCCCTCTGTGCGTGTACAGCATGTCCTCTCATTACGTGGCACGGCAGACAGCCCTGCTATAGTTCAGGTTAAAACCAGCTCTCTGATTTAAAGCTCAACTTTCCGAAGTGCTCTAAAATCCAGACGGTTACTCAACTTGTCTTGAAATTTGGTGTGGGTCATGGGAGTGTGGGAGGGCTAGCTAGCTAGGGTTAGTGACCCAAGTTTAGGGTCCTTTGAGAAAGGGGTTCCCCAGATACAGCCCCACCCCTGAACAAAACAGCCTGTCTTGAGGTGCCTAAATTTTCCAGCTTTGTTCAAAGATAGGACTCAAACCCAGGCCGTGATCATCACACCAGGGTCTCAGTACCCCACACCCCCAGAGGGCAGGCCACACACTAGCCCTTTGGAGGAACAAAATTGAGAACAATATGAGACAGAGAGTTTGGCTCTCACGATAGGCACCGAATACGCCTAACGCTCATGCCCCAAACAGATAATACTGAAATGTGCAGAGAGGACCAAGCTAGCCAGCCCTGCCGGGCTGGACCGCAATGCTTCCAGAGGGATTGGTGTGGACATGGCCGGACTGGCTGGGCCCAGGGGGCAGGCCAGGCTGGCTGGTTACACTGTTGGTGCTGGGTTTCTTCTGTGTCTTTTCCCCTGACCAGCCCGGACCCCACAGTTAACAACCAAGGAGGGGCTGGCTCCAGGGGCCGGATTCCCAGCCACCCCTCTCCACTGGCACTGGAAATGGGGCCCTGCCAGGCCCCCTCTGTGCTGGCTCCTGTCCCATTCACCCTGCAGTGTCCCCGGTCCTCACAGGCTTGGGGATTTGACACCCTCCACAGTCCAGGGGCAGGCCTAGATCTGGCCCTAATGGGGCTGCACACAACCCCGTCAGCCTGGACCGGCCCCAGCCCTATCCCGGGCAGGGAGCGAGGCCTGAGGGCCTGTCCCACGCTGCCCAGTCCCGCTGGCTTGCCGAGTGTCGGTTGGTGGTTAGGACGTTAGGGGACTCCTCCTTGCGGTCTGGGGCAGGTTGCTCTCCCCGTGACAGAGGGGGAAACCCTGCACGCAAAGGGGAAGTGTCACAACCCGGCTGGGGCAATGGGCTAACAGGTGGTGACTCCACTAACCGATGGGATGTGCAATGGCTGCTCGTTCCCCCTGTTAACCACCGTGCTCTGCTCCCATGTGCAGTGTCGTTGTGGTGTGGTGTGTTGTGGGGCGGCAGAGGAGGGAATGATCTCAGGTTAACAATGTGATGCAGCTGCAAAAAAGGCTAGTATCTTTCTGGGGTGTATTACCAGTAGTGTTGTATGCAAGTTTCGGGAGGGAATTGTCCTGCTCTACTTGGCACTGGTGAGGCCTCAGCTGGAGTCCTGTGACCAATTCTGGGTGCCGCACTTTAGGGAAGATGTGGACAAACTGGAGAGAGTCCAGAGGAGCAACAGAAATGATCAAAGGTTTAGAAAACCTGACCGGTGAGGGAAGGTTGAAAAAACGGGGCATGTTTAGTCATGAGAAAAGACGACTGAGGGGGCACCTGATCACAGTCTGCAAATATGTGAAGGGCTGTTTGAAAGAGGATGGGGATCAGTTGTTCTCCGTGTCCACTAAGGACAGGACAAGAAGTAATGGGCTTAATCTGCAGTAAGGGAGATGTAGGTTAGCTATTAGGAAAAACTTTCTAACACTCATGGTACTGAAGCTTTGCAACAGGCTTTCAGGGGAGGTCGCGGAGTCCACATCATTGGAAGATTTTAAAATCAAGTTTGACAAACCTCTGTCAGTAATGCACATGGGAACACATAATCCCAACTCTACATATGAAATGATGGGGTCTAAATTAGCTGTTACCACTCAAGAAAGAGATCTTGGAGTCATTGTGGATAATTCTCTGAAAACATCCACTCAATGTGCAGCGGCAGTCAAAAAAGCAAACAGGATGTTGGGAATCATTAGGAAAGGGGTAGATAGTAGGACAGAAAATATCATATTGCCTCTCTATAAATCCATGGTACGTCCACATCTTGAATACTGCGTGCGGATGTGGTCGCCCCACCTCAAAAAAGATACATTGGAATTGGAAAAGGTTCAGAAAAGAGCAACAGAAATGATTAGGGGTATAGAACAGCTTCCATATGAGGAGAGATTAATAAGACTGGGACTTTTCAACTTGGAAAAGAGACGATTAATGGGGGATATGCTAGAGGTCTATGAAATCATGACCGGTGTGGATAAAATAAATAAGGAAGTGTTATTTACTCCTTCTCATAACATAAGAACTAGGGTCACCCAATGAAATGAGTAAGTGGCGGGTTTAAAACAAAGAAAAGGAAGTGTTTTTCCACACAACACACAGTCAACCTGTGGAACGCTTTGCCAGAGGATGTTGTGACGGCCAAGACTATAACAGGGTTCTAAAAAGCACTAGATAAGTTCATGGAGGACAGGTCCACCAATGGCTATTAGCCAGCATGGGCAGGGATGGTGGCCCTAGCCTCTGTTTGCTAGAAGCTGGGAATGGACGACAGAGGATGGATCACTTGATGATTCCCTGTTCTGTTCATTCCCTCCAGGGCACCTGGCATTGGCCACTGTCAGGAGACAAGGTACTGGGCTAGATGGATCCTTGGTCTGACCCAGTAGGGGCATTCTTATGCTCTTATGTTATGTTCTTAAGACACCTCTTACTATTTAGTTTATACAAGAGAAGGGTATTATCGCCTTTAATCTCTCACTCTACGGCCTTTTTTTTTTCTAGACCACAAATCATCTCGACAGAGTTTCTCCTATTTGCTAACATCCTTTTTCAAATGTGGACACGGCACTGAACTCGGGGTCCAGTAATGAGCTCACTGCGAATACCTTATACAGAGGGCCGGCCTTAGGGAAAATTGGGTGAACTTGTATTTTGGCGCCCCTGATCCCCACTGCCTCCCCAGGCTCCCCACCCACCTCCGCATCGCCCTGGCCCCCGCTGCCTCCCTGGGCTCCCCACAAGGGTTGGCGGCCCGAGGGGAGGCTTGTGACAGGAGGGCAGCAGAGGGCTGTGGTGGCAGGGGAGCATGGTGACCTGAGAGCCCCGGAGAGGGGAGAGGGGACCAGAGGAGTTCAGCTAGAGTCTGTACACCCCCTGCTGCCCCTCGTGCCCATTATACAGTGTAGCCGCCCCTTCCCCACCCCACCCTCTGCTGCCACTGGTGCCCACCATACAGTGCCCAACACCACAGCAGTGCCCCCTTGCCGTGACACAGCACTTGGCCTCCATCCTGGGCTCCACCCCTCCCAGCCCTTTATACAGACTGAGCCAGTATCTTCACCCCTAGTCCACAGGTGTGGGAAATCGAGGCAGAGACGGGAACATGAGAGAGCCCACAACGCTCATTGCAGCCAATAGGAGAGGGAAATATTCCCAGAGAAGAGCCCCGTGACCCAGAGCTCTGAACTGGTACATCAGGGGTTATGAGTTCAATGCTTACTCAAGCCTGGGTGAATCATCTCGGGGAGGTTTCACCTTTCACTGATTTCCTATGCATGTGTTGGTGTCTATGCTGCCCTCTCAAAAGCCGAGCATCTATCACTCTGGCAGGAAAGCCGGGATACGGAGCACCCGTTTCTTTAGGGGAACGTGTAAGAACCCTGCAGCATCAAATATGGCATGATCTGCCCCCACATTAGGACTTAGCCTGATCTCTACTAGCTAGAGATTGGTTTAAAACAGGGGTGGGCAAACTACGTCTGGGGGGGGCCGCATCTGGCCCTTCGGACATTTTAATCCTGCCCTCGTGCTCCCGCTCCAGCCAGGGAGCAGGGCTGGGGGCTTGCCCCACTCCACACGTGCCGTGGCTCCGCATGGGTCCCGGAAGCAGC